CCCTATTTATTCCTCAGACTACCATAATTTAGTATTGACATGCAGCTTGAGCAGCATTTGTTGCTTATCGGTGAGATTTGTGAAGTTGAACACAAGACCGCTGAGGATTTCCACGTCTTTTATCCGTGTTGTATATTGTAAAAATAGCTGATTCTTGTCCTGAAAAACTTTTTTTCAAATATTTTCTAGTTTTCTTATCTGTTCAACTCATTACCAAGCAATTTGGGTCACCGTCCATGTGAGGGAAAATAAAAGACAAGACTCTTGTCTGTTCTGGCTTTTGACAGTAAGCTCCGCTCGAGGACCATTCGCCATCGCAAGAGATAAGTATACGGTAAAGATGAGTGGGAAACGGACTTAAAGTAAGCAATTAATGTAAAGACTAATGAACAAGCGCAGAAACATATCTAATTTCAGTAGATAAAACACAACTTACGACGTAATCTCTGATGTCGAATATTTGCCATCATAATCCTCATCATAGGCCGTTCCAGTAATCGAGATCACTTTGCCAGATCTCTTCACAATGTTCTTTGTGTATTCATTTAGAGGATTGAGGATGTCTACAAAAAAAGAATAGAAAATATTGGATATACTAATATTGGATATACTATTTTTATACCTCTGACAAAGTTTGCCTTCCACGGGATTAATAGGCTGTGTTCGTTTGTTGCCAGCACTGAAATTAAGCACAAATGTGTATAACTCTCGCTTTATTTTAGCAAATTTGAATTAGAGAGTGTTTCGTTACTAACCCATATTAAACGGCTCGTGTAAAAATGGAATTTAAACTTCGTTTTCGGAGAGTTTCTTTTGCTTATACAAGATTGATTTAGTGCTTCAGAAAGGTTTTAGAAATAAACCAACCCACGTTTTTTCCTGTCCCAAAGCGCACTATTTGCTAAAATGAAATCAAAGTTTTTTCTAGATACTTGTTTGTACTGACTAACAATTCTTTCTTTTTGGTGCTTAATGTTTTCAGATCACTTAGATGTTTGAACAGTAGCACTTGTGAAGCAAGAGCTTATCATTTGCTTTTTAAGGCCTGGACATATCTTCAATTGTGTTCTTTGCCTGGTTCACATGAGCAGTTTTGAGAACGAACGTTTAGGAACAAGGCACCACACAAAGCATTACCAAAACCCTTGTTTCCATATTTACGATGCGGTCCTGCTAAGGCAGTACAAGGAGTGTAAAGTAAGTTGATTGTATTTTTTGTCCATGAAATCATTAAGCTGTAGTGGTCTTGAGTTATACTATTTACATAAATGTGGGCATGAAGCAAACAAACCCGATATCTTAATTTTAAGAGTATTACATTATACATCTTTTGTGCGAGAAGCTCGGCCGTGCCTTCTTCGCTTCTCCAAGGGTGCTAGCAATACATCTAGTATTAAAAATTGGTCGGCAATGCTTTGCAATTTCAAAGCGTTAGACGGCTCTCGAGCGGAAGAGATATTGTCTAACTAGGGAATGGTCAGAAACCAAAGTGGCCAATCCGAACAAACTGCAAACCATTCGACGCAGCAAAGAACGCTGATTTCAAAACTTAACTGCGAGAAAGTCGTGCACAAAAATTGCGAAATTAGGCACCCATTACCCTTTTAGCTCACCTTTATGTATGGGCAATTCGAAGTGACCTAGTTGCATGTTTTGGCCCAGCACTGAACCGAGAATGTTTCTGTACGGCCGATTTGCCCTTTACACGCACGATTTCTTAAACAATATAAAAGCTTTTAACGGCTTATAATTTCACTCACAAATGTTTCTGCAGATAAGGAAGACAGATTTAGAGTCAGTTTTATGCTGCATCTGATAATATGCAGCCTGCTTGAGGCCACTCTCATTTCTGACCATTCCCTTGTAAGTTACACAATTACACACGCTCCTAAAAAAACGATCCGATTTGATCCATTTAAAAAGATAATAATTCAATCCTGTCGTGACTGCAACATGTTCGTTCTTTTTTGTTGCATTTGTGTACAACATAAACAATTAGATGAAGAAGAATTTTTGCAACTACATCGGGAACCCTGCTCATAAATACTTTTGAGTTATGCAAGACTAACGATACCGAATTTATATGGTATTTAAAAACTGCGAAAATGTCATCAAACATTTTGCGCGGCTGAGTAGAATAAATTCCTGCGCTTGATCTGCCATAAGTGATATTGTGGCTCGATGGGCTTAGCACCCCATAGCTTTGCTCGACTGCCCCTACAGGATCAATCCCGAGCCCAGAACGTTACGCGTTCACCACGACGGACTCTTCGGCGAGTAACACGACGCCTACACCACGACAACTAACCCGCACAAAAACGCGACTAGTTCAAGTGAGTTTATATACCGAAAACAATACAAGAAACAAATAGCAAAGGAGAACTACTAAACCACGAGGCTCCTACTTCAAGTGGGCGAATAAGGATACAACGCGGGATGAGCAGCGCGTGCCGTGCTGCCGAGTATGACAGGCTCATCAATCAAGAAGTTCTTGGATTCTCCACAGAGCTGAACGCTAGAGACCCAGTGTCATGAAACAATGAACTTACTTTCCACTCCCGCAACAATCTTCATCTGTAGAGTTAAAGAACTCGCGCTTTTGCGCGTCCAATCCACAGAAAATCCAAGCTCAATCGCTTAACACGAAATCATGAACTGTGGGAGCTGCCAAGAACATAGCCAAATATGAAACGAAAGGGCTCAATGATGAGTACGAAGGTGAAATGGCGAGGGCTGCTTTCGTGCGCATCCTTATATACCCCGTCACTTGGCTGCGTACCAAGCCGTACCAAGCCGAAATGGTCCTGCAGCGGCTTACAAAAGTCGCGGCATGTAACGCCATACAGCGTTCCCATCACCTGTTCCAAGGAGCTGCTTGCATCGCTGAGCCGCTTACATCGCTGCGCGACAAAGAGAGCAAAGTCATCTTAAACTTTGCTCCCACATTTGCTTTTGCTACTGTGTATAAACATCTGATTCTGTACAGACAAAACGACGAACCTCTTCCGGAGTAAGCTGACAGTGTTTGGCGCTTCAGATTACCGTTAGAATCCCAAGTCGTACAGCGATATTGTCGTTCTATTAGATGAAATGTGCACTGGTTGCTGAGCAGTTGATCATGACTGTTTCCATTATATATCTCTATCAAAGTTGCAACATTACCTGCAAAGAGTAAGGTAAATAGTGCTGAATACATACATCGGTCCTGATAAAGCTGTAATTCATGTAGCAGTGCTGCACAATTTCTCTGTTACGACTGCTATCGCCACAACGTTGACGATAAACATTCACAATGTAGACAAGCTTTCAAATCACACAGAACCCGCGAAAGAATTCAAGACCATCCAAACTGCAACCATAGCCTACCATTTTCTCTGGTACTGTCTATGATAGCCACTTCATTACATTCTGATAAGTAGCAGAAATTCCGGTCTTCCGAAGTTACTATTATTGATTTAAGCGCTCCTCCATCGTTGCATCTTGTCCGGCTTTTGAATGCTTGCTGGGAAAGTTTAGATGGCTTTAACAAAAATAAAACTTGAAGATATAAACTACCGCGTCAGCATAAGTACAGTTCCCACATGTATTTAACAGAATGCCTTGCACAAAGTTATCGGTAACCTTGCATACCCTAGAATTTCCCAATGAAATCAACGTACGATTACCGAGGGAAGGGAACTGTCACCTTACTGGAGGGTATTGTTTCTTTAGCGCTCCGCTACTAGAGACTAACGCTATATTCATGAAGTCAGGTTCTCCATCATTTTCTTGTGCTGATAGTTGAAGCAATTCTAAATCGAAAAAACATTAGATTGCACGGGAAGACCAAATTTTTTACGAAGAGGAATCTTGGCGAGAATAAGAGAGAAAAATTTTATAACCGATTAACAAATCTTGGAATAGTAAAAATTATTTTCAGAGAATGTTGTTATACAACTGCATTTTCTTGCTTGTTGATAAGGTTCAGTAACGATAAGATGATAATAAAAATAAATGGTTTAAAAATGAATCTATGTTAAAGTAATATATGGAAAAAGCCACACATGGTTGTAGAAAACATTTCCAAGATTGATTTCCTTTTTTGTCTTGCAAACGTGCTTCTTTACCATCAGAACCAGGGCTGGGCACGAGCTGGCAGCAGGGAAATTTCGAAACGAAGTCCCGTTTGATCTTGTAAATTTCGTACGAGGTCCCCTTTGACCAGTTTTGAAGACAAGTCATTATTTTTGGATTCTTTAAAAGTATGTAGTAGGGTTTTCATGCATGCTGATTTCATGGAACCACTTTTCACAACTTTCTGAGCTTATTATGTGGTTGAATCATTTCTGGAGAAGCAGAAAAAGCCGATTTTTCGATTGCGGAGCAGACTGACTAATTTTAAAATTGCTATAAAACGCTGAAAAGAAAACATTATAAAAATGTTTCTTCTCTGTATGTAAACTTTTACAGTATAGATACATTTTATGTAGAAAAGTATGAAAACTTATGTGAGCAAAGTGTCGGTGCCAGCTCAGCTGGCACCCAGCTGGCACGGTGCCAGCTAATTCAGAAAAAAGTTCGGCACAGCTTTCATTCACATAAGTTTTCATGAATTTTTGGGCTATAGTTCCGGTCCACCAACGCGCATGTACACACCAAATTTGGTGTCACACTAATGCATTTTGACTGAGAACGAGGCCTTTGTTTGTTGATGGACAGCATGCCGGTGGCATGCCGGCGGTATTCTTGCGGCACTTCTACGCCGCGGACCCCGAACAAACGATATCCCCTCTGCTTCCCGCCCTAAAAACGATATCCAGTCCAGCTTGACCCGGTGCCAGCTGTGCCGAGCCCTGATTCGAACTCGGCTCTCAGTAAAATAGTCTATGCTTTTTGCCAATTTTCCACATCTCATCTCATGTTAATATTTTTAACATGTAACAAGTGGGGAGAAGATGAATCTTCTGTCAGAGGACACTTTCAGAAACAACCTGATGTTTATGTTCATTTCGAAACTCACTTGTCCATAAATTCATGTATTCTACGTTCATGAAACTCGGCAGCACTGTTCCTTGTTTGAAACTGGGTCCTCTCGCAAACATAATGGTATGCATGTCGGGGTCTATGAAGTCGAAACCGTGACTGCCAACGTCTTTAGATTTTACATCCGTACGATGTCTGCAATATTATTTGCACATGGTCGTAGGAGTGGAAAAAGAAAATTTAAGGAAAAACACTGCAGTCCTACTGTACCCCAACAACTTTCAAAAAATTGATTTCGACTCATTGTTATAAAATTTGCTCTCCAAATTAGAAAACTTACATGTATGTTCGAGATGCCTCATGTGCAAGAATGACAAAATCACCAATTCTTTTCGATTCGCTGAAATGGAATCGGACTGGAAGTGTTTTCTTATCAAACACGCGAATGTAATCTGTTCCTTTGCATGTCAATGCACCTAGGATCTCTTCGTCCGTCAATCCTATAAATTTTACTTTGACACAAAATTCATGGACCTACAACTTATTCGGCTAATATAGTCAATCCCATTTTGAAGTCATAGGTTCATTTGGCTAAACCGAAAAATGGACTTTTCTTGATGCTTACAAAGCCTAGACTTCTGGAAAAAAGTCAAGGATGGATAATAGCTCTGAGCGCATTCAGGCGGACTTCGAGTCTGTAAAACTTTGGAGGTTTTTGCTTGGTATGATACAATTACCATTGTTCTTCGACAAATTTGACTTCATTTGTTCTAGAAAGTTCCACTTCTTGTAGAAAGTGCTTAACCCTTTCGCCTCGAACTAATTTTGCGAAGTTCAGCTGGAATCCTTTTGAAGCAGATTTTTGTTTATAAACATATATAGGATGCACTTAAATGTGTAGAAAATTTGTTTGGCATGCATAATTTAGAAAAAAAAATTCATTAAACCGAATCATTTATCAACTGCACCTAATCACTCATACTGTATTTTACATTGGCGTAGGATCTCATGTGCAACATACAGGGCTCCTAAACTGCAGAGTCGTTTGCACCAGCGGTCGCACGACCGCGTCGCGCCCGGGCATCAATGGCGCCGCCTCGATCGATGGCGCCGGCGCCGGCAAAATGCCCGGGCGCGACGCGGTCGCGCGACCGCTGGTGTAAGCGACTCTGCAATTTGGGAGCCCTGTATCCGTCAGATTTTTAAGCGCGAGGCTTTATTAGCAGCAGAGTGCATAAGCCGCAGGATTCAAAACGATAGAGATACGCGCGCCGCCTTCGCGCCCTCAGCTATTACTGCTTCTGCGCCGCCATCCTGCAGTAGCTTTTACTAGAATGAAACTCACTTGAGCCATTACGAAACATCAAAGTGTTTACACCTGGTAAGATTACAAGACCATCTGTATTCAATAGTTCATCCAACGCAACGCGATTTTTGATTACCGACATGCCTGGAAACGTTTCTTGAAAAAAAAATGTAGCCATACGAAGCACTTACCATGATCAGATACGATAACAATGTTAACACAACCAATCATGCCTTCTTCTGATAATTTGCTCAGAAAGCGCTCTAACGATCTGTCCAATGATTGTACTTGTTCATATACCTGGATATAAATTCCAAACATTGGGATAGTAAGACTACACATCCCACCTTTTCACTCGAATTTCGGTGTCCAGTATAATCAGGCTCCAGAACGTAAGCCATAATGAGGCCAGGGCGCTCTTCGTCATCAAGTTTCAGGTATTCAAATACCTGAAAAAAAATTGCACCTCACTCAAATGCGCACCAAAGACTGCAATGAAATATAACATTTTATTGAGTAAACAAGCATATATGTTTAAACAAACGACGAACATTGTCACTGCATGAAGTCAAAGTTCTGCAAAACTTCTCGCTCAAAATTTTACAGCATAGAAAATGCGAAAAGTCAAATCGTGATGAAGCCGGGCTTTTTATCGCCATTTGCCTGCAGTTGTTTGATTAGCCGCAAAAATTCACATTTTGAGTGGTGATGGAAGTTTGAGAGTTGAATCTCATTTATATCTGTGCCAAGCACATGCAACCTGCCATTATTCTTTTAAACTTTTCTCTTAAATAATTTCTTCGTTTATAGCATTTGAAAGCATAAATTGTGTTGATCTACTCTTTTCAGTTCCGCCGCTCTTTTTCATCTCATTTTAATTACAATTGACAGGGGGGCGCTCGTTGCGTGCGGGCTGCAAATGAAAAACGTCGTAACGCGGCGTTACAGTAACCGCGTGCGGGAAGCAGCAGTGCATAAAACTTGTCAGATTCATACCACTGGAGTACCAGTGCTTTTTCTATAATGTTAGTTTTTTACCTTCCTCAATTTGTGTCTTTTTTGTCCTTTAAAGAGCTCATTTGACAACTTTTGTGGCAGAACTTCAAATAATCAAGCAAAACTGATATGAAAACAGTCTGTGAACCTTAACAAAGGATGAGAAACTGAAAGGCTATGTGTTGCGGATCATTCTGGCTGAATTCGCCGAGTCTGGTCACTGGCAGCCTGTCGCGCGCGACGTTTTCCAATTGGCAGCCCGCACGTAACGATACGCCCTCCAATTGACAGATAGACTTGCGCGAAAACAAGAATGTGAGCTACCCAAAAGCGTTCGCATACCCTCATAAAAAATAAGGAAACAATAGGAGAAAATGACCCTCGATATGCCATTGATAAAGTTTAAGTCTAAATTATCAAATGCAACTACTCTTGAGACTTGCAAGACAAATTTTTGAAAAGCATCCGTTATTGTCGGTCATTTCGATCAAAATACTCAAGTTTTGTCGTAAGTTGGTTGCTGGTTTTTACTGCGCAAACCCTGTTACCTATGGTAATTATTCTAAAACACAGAAAATCATCAGCAGTTTCTTCAAGACCAAAGAAGAAGAGGATGGGTACTGTCAATGATCTTCAAATCAGCAACAGCTTGCGAACGACAATCACTCCGCTGGACTGAACAAATCAATCCCATCGTCTAATTAAAGCTTCTTCTAATTCGGAATACTAATCTGCAAACTGACCTTATCAAATACTTCGTCTGCGCTCATGTTTTTCCTGAATGGTACCATATAATGTGGCTGATGGTAATCTGAAATATAAACACTATATCGAGTGCTGCCCTCCGTGATCTTAAGATGAACTTGCATGTAGTGTTATGGTACGTTCCTATCCATGAAACTGCAGCCGCTTTCATTCTCGTTTCCCGTTGATAAATAGACCAAATCTAAACTTTCCGGACTACAAAAGTTGTCTCAAGCATTCAGCGTTCTATCGGAAGTCAGCTAAATTTCTTTACATATGTTTCTGTAATGTGTTTGTGAATGCAAGAAGAACAACTGGATTTGAGGTTTTTTCATTCCGCATTGACGCTGGCTCTTCTTGGGTTAGCAACAATTCAGCACGTTTTGAGTGACAGCTGCTACAATGTAAGCACAATTGTTATAAAAACGAAATGATTGATTTTGACAAAAACTAATTGCTGCAAATGTTCTTATGTTTCTTTGGACTTTTTGCAGTAATTTCTCGCAATTTCCTTGAATTCGAACTTCACTGGACTGCTTGGCCGATCGTAGCTAGACGATGAGCATAATTCGCAACACTCGGTACATTTGAGATTTAGCTCTCTCAAGTAATGGTTTCCAAAAAAAACCTTTTGGCAATAGCGCTAGAAAATCTTTTTTTTTGTAATGGCCAAAATTATACAAAAGTTGCATAAAAGTTTGCTGTTTGTAAGAATACCTACTGCGTTCGGTAAATTTGCTGTTTTAGAAGAAAAAAATCGTCATGATTTAGAGTTGAAATGTGGTAAACTGCATTTGTTGCGAGTCAATCTATCTGCTGCATGACGAAGGCGCAGAAGCGATGTTAGTTGAGCGGGCGCAAATGCGAGTGCGCGTATCTTCACCGCTGTAAATCCTGCGCCTCTTGCGCTCTGCTGCTAATAAAGCCGCGTTTGCGCCCGAAAGTATTGCGCCTTCGTCATGCAGCAGCCCATATATACTCAGCTCATTTTCGCACAATGACATCACTGAAACTCACTGCGCGATGCTGACTATCACAGATACATTGTAAACGACTACCCACTTCAGAAGCTTTCTCATGTTGGGGTTAGCCACGCACCCAGAAAAATTTTTCATAAGGCTAAATTGAATTTTTAAAAATTTAGAAAATTATTCTAATTACTTACAAGTATAAACAAGTCTCTTGCACATTTTTAGTACTTTCCCTCCCCCTCGTAGGCCACTAATCTTTGCGCAAAAATCTTCTTGAATGCTCAGATAAATCTTGGCACTTGAGCGTACGCAACCAATTCCTTTTGGCGCCGATTTCTTGAACGAATGGACTTTTGACTACTTTTTTGAGCTAAAATTCATGGCTTGTACATCATCTTGTCGAGCATATTTATGACTTTGCAAAAAGTGGTGTCAGAGACCCGATTTTGCTGTCTAGAAACCAAGTGGTCAGTTTGATGCGCAATTTCTGAGGGATCCACACATCGAATCCGTTCGTTTTTGCGTGGTAGACTTTCATGCTGGTGGCATGCGCTGTACAAAATTTGGACTCAGGATCTTTGCTGGAATGAGCTCTACGAATCTCGTAACGGACAGGCAGACACACTAAAACGCATAAACACTCCTAACCCGTTATTATATTAGGTTGAACCGAAAGTTCTGTCGCACCATTTTCAAAAATTCATAACTTCTCATTTTTCCAACCGATTTGGCTGCTTTTATTTTTGTACGAAAGAGTAGGTCATGCTCTTTCTAATATCATCTTAGCTGCTTACTAATAGTCATCTGTTGCATAGATAGGAGCGATAGAAGAAAATTAGTCAAAATTCGAATTTTCTGTGTAGGGTCATAAAAAATCGGAAACTTGCAGCAAAAATCAGAGCAGTCGGTATTGCAGGTCCTTTCACTAGCTCTTTCTAACAGTGCAAAGTTTGCGCTGATTGAGCGTCTCTATGAAAAGTTATGATTTCCCTGAAAAATGCCAAAATAAATCAAATTTGCCCTTTTGTATTGTTTGCTCGAAAGTCATAACTTTTCATAGAGACACTCAATCGGCAAAAACTTTGCACAGTTAGAAAGAGCAGGTAATAAAACCTATTATACTGACAGCTCAGATTTTTACTGCAAGTTTCCGATTTTTTATGACCCTACACAGAAAATTCGAATTTGACTAACTTTCTTCTAACGCTCCTATCTATGCAACAGATGACTATTAGTGAGCAGCTAAGATGTCTTTATAAAGAACATTATATTATACTCTTTCATACAAGAATAGAAACAGTCAAATCGGTTGGAAAAATAAGAATTTATGAATTTTTGAAAATGGTGCGACAGAACTTTCGGTTCGACCTAATATATATATATATATATGATAATATAATCATAACAAAGCGCTAAGCTTCTGTCTTTTTGTGTATGTTTATGTCTGACTGTCACAAAATTCATAGAAGCTGCAGCCAAGC